TTCGTCCTCCTCTTTCCTCCTCCTTTTCTTTCCTCCTCAACTTTCCTCATGCTCGTCATCCTGCTCATCCTGCTCATCTGCCACCTCTTCGTCCGATGTGCACAGCTGTTTTTTCCATCATACGGCACATAACACGATGGGTCATCTCTGGGCTTCCACGTCCGCTATGGCACCCGCCTGCGGACAACATGAAAGCAATGGGGAAGGGACGGGCGGGCGGGGCAGGATGTCAGATCTGGCGCGAGCGCACCTGGCTTGCCTCCTCCCCCTTGGCATCGCTCGGACGTGTGCACTTTTCCTCCGGCGAGGACCATCGAGGAGCATCCTTGATCACTTGGCGAAAAAAAAACACGCACGACACCGAAAACGGCACAGGGAATGTACGTCCGAGCGATATGGCGAGCCCCCTCCTGCCCCCTCCCGACCGGCCGGGCAGACCTCCACCTCCTCACGCTGCTCGAGATGTCGTCCGGCAGGAGCACGTCCCGCACCGGCAGTGCGCTCGAGGCCCCCTCCCCTGTGAGCACGAGGACGAGGAGGGCGGGGAAGCGCGGAGAAGGAGGGGCTGAGGATCGAGGGTTTGGGGCGGTGTGAGGCTCCTGGCCGCCGGAGGAGCCCTGAGGAGGGAAAACCTTCCAACAACCTTCCAAAAAACCTTCCAAAAAACCTTCCCAAATAACCTTCCCAAAAAACCTTCCTAAAACGGAGAGCTCAAGGGGAGAGGAGGGAGGCGGAAGGGGAAGGAGGGGGAGGCGAGGAGGAGCTGTCTCTTCGCCTCTGCCTTTGCCAGCTGGCAGGGCGCCCCGTCGCACTCTCGCCTCTCTGGGCTGGGGTGGCCCGGGGAGGAGAGGTTGGCTTCCCTCGGCAACGCGCAGAGGGGGGTAGGGGGAGGGGGGAAAACTTCTTAGAGGCACCCCTGCTTCTCAGAAGGCGCGGGCCTTCTCTACAGACGTAAGGCCGAGGCCTTCTAAGAAGCAGGGTGCTTCTAAGAAGCCTTCCCCCCTCCCCCTACCCCCTTTTGCGCGCCGCCAATTCCCCTCGCTGGCTCAATGTATGTAGCACCCCGCAGTTACAAATAGAAGAGAAGGGGCGGCGGGGTCGTCGGCAGCATGCGAGGCTCCGAAAAAGCCCGCCGCAGGCGCCGATTTTGCATCGAATGGTGCAACGGCGAATTTCTCGTCAGAGCAAGTGGGAGGGTCCCGGGTGAGTCGCTGGTGGGTCGCGTGTCGTTCGCGGGTGGGTCGCGGGTGGATCGCGGTTGAGTCGCGGGTGGATCGCGGGGTGGGTCGTGTGTAGGTCGCAGGTGGGTCGCGGTCCGGGTCGCGGGCCGGGTCGCGGGAGGGACGACGACAGCAAACAATAACAGCAACAACAACAATTAGATTAACATTGTTCGTTCTTATCTGCTCGCAGGCCATGCAACACGTACATCCGAAACCCTCGACACCCGCTTTCTTCGTCTTCGATCGTGCCCCTTTGGGGGTGTATATCTTTATTACCTGCAAGGCGTATTCCATACAGCCCCTAAGGCAGGGAAAAAGAAGACGGATGGAAGGAAGGAGCAAATTAGAGAGGAAGATGCAGCACGAGTGTGGGTAGCAGGATGGACAGAATCAGACGGTCAGATCGGCGGGTAGACCCTGACGGGCGGTTCGGGAAGGCGGGCCAAAGCGGCCAGATCGAGCAGGCGGGTTGCTAAAGCGTGATTATTGCATGAATCGCAAGTTTCGAGCGATACTGGTCTGGCGAAGCGGAGTATTACGGAATGGTTGAAGGTGTTTCGGTGGCGTTAGGGACGCAGGCGGTTCTGAAGGAATTTGAAGTCGATTGTGGCATCTCGTCAAAAGAGCGAAGCAAGCGCAGCCATTGCCATTGTGAGCAAGCGAGGACTGTGAACACGTCGGACACATCGAAGTCTGCCAGCTTTGGTTGCAGGAGAGAGTGAGACGCGGAGATATCAGAGTGATCAGAGTGGGAACTCATGGGACTTCGTCCGATGCTTTAACAACGCGAGCAGGGGTAACATGTCCATGCGTATGCGAGGTAAGTACCAGCACATGGTTAACAGAAGACGCGAGCTGGCACCCGCTACGGAGTGGAGGGTTCATCCATAATTACCCGGGTTACCATCGCGTGCCGATTGGCCCGAGACTTGAGCTCAGGATCCGTTGGGATCCAGGTGCTCGTCTACGCGATTAAACCCTACGCTACAGAAGATGACAATCCTTTTGCATGACGCGGTGCTTTGCGACACTTACACCGTGTGTTGCGTGTCAGAGAACCCCGTGCACGATTGCGCCCACATCACAGTCGCGGTCTGCTTGCACCAGTCATGCGCTGAATTGCTTGTCTTGACCTGTTCTGCTGGAAGCCTGGCTTCGATGCGCTGTATACTGGTTCAAAATGGTTGTGCTGACCAGTTGCTTCCGCCTTTTATATTTTATCCGTTTCCACATTCGGTATATCAGCCGAGGGGGGTAATAGATTATGGACTTCCGATTGGGTGACCAGGTCTCGTAACCGTACGCTGCCATTCCTGAATTGTGTAGTTGTCTTATGTTTTCAAGGAACTCAGTTGATACGGGGTCGGGCGTGCGTCGGCCGACGCCGTTTGGCTCAAGTGCTGCTGTTCCCTCGTGAAAACAAACTCCTGTAATATTTTGGATAAGGAGGAGTGAAGCACGGCGCGCTATCTAGTTATACCAGCTCCCCGGGCACGTCCCTCGCGTGCGCCGGCGCTGCGCCTGGTGGCGGGTGCCGCCGCCAGCTTCCCGCGGCGGGTGCCGTGCCCCTCCGCCCGCCCCCCAACCGCTTCCTGACTCCCCCCCCCGACCTCGAAGCAAGAAACCAACATGAGCGAAGTTTGTCGGAAGCCCGCGCGGCCTTCCGTGCCCATGGCGCCGCTGGCCTTTTACCCCCCCCTTTCCCCCCTCGAGAAGAGACCGCGCCCCGAGGCTCTTGGCGCGGCTACTGTTTATCGATGGTTGTTGCCTTTTTGGCCACCGGAGACCTCGCAGGGGTGGACGGGGGGCCCAGGTTCGGCCTTGCCGCGAGCCGAGGCGCACGCCCCACCCCCCTTCTCCCGCTTCCAGGTGATGTCGCTCGAGTAGACTGTCTATATAGAATGGATGCACCTCGAAATTGTTTTTCGTCGAGGTATACGCCGAATGCTCGCATATCTAGGATCACGCGACGCATTCCTCGTGGATTCGACGAGCACTTTTGAATTTTGGGGTAAGGCAATGGTGCAGCCGATTCCCCAGTCGAATCGTGGGCCAACGCGCACACACATCCGTATCCGCGGCCTCGCGGGCCAGACGTCCGGGCCGCGACCCCGCGGATGCGGGGCGCTGCTTCTCGGAAATGGGGGGGTGGCCCAGCTGGGGGATGACGAAAAAACCCTTTACAAGGGGCCCGTTCTGGGCCCCCGCGGGCTCCGAAAGGAGCCCTAAATTGGGTTGGCCCAAAGAGAGTCCAGCGACAAGGGGGTGGCGCAACAGATCTGGTACCATACATCTGTGCGGCTGCAGCACCTTAGGGGCGCGCGCTACATTCCAGGGCGCAAGTGCATTGTTGAATTTTCGCGTGCAGTACATTCGATGCAATACAATACAATACAATACACTTCTCCGGCGCCATACATGTGCAATGCAACTGCCCCAAATATATTGCACCACCCCCTTGCAGTTGGACCCTCTTCTGGGGCCAGCACCCAAACTAGAGGGGGCCCGGGCCCTAAAGGGCCCATGTAGGGCCTTTGTCTTCACCCCAGATGTGGGTCACCCCCCCTGACCGCCCGCCCGAAACACACAGCCGCACCCGCGGCCTCGCGGGCCAGACCCCTGGGCCGCGATCCCGTGGACGCGGGGCGTTTCTTCGCGAATGCCCCGCGCGGAAGGCGTCCGTGCGACCGCGCGCCCGCGGGCGTGCGCCCCAGAATGCAGGTCCGTGAGGGCGCGGACGCGGACACGTTCGTGCCCTCACGGTCTGCATTCTCTCCGTCGCCCGGGGGACAGGGAGAATGGTGCTCTCTCTGTCGCCCGGGGGACCTTCTTTCGGGTGGGTCGCGGATGCAGACCGAGCGGCGCTCGTGGTGCTCTCTCTGTCGCCCGGGGGGGGGGGGTCTTCCTTCGGGGGGGTCGCGCGCGCAGACAGGCAGCGCCTCGGCGGCCTCCCCCGCCACCAGAGTTGGGCAGGCCACGCTCGAAGGCGGCGAGGCCTCGTGGGCCCCTTCGGGTTCGATCCCGGAGGCCGCTCCCTCGGGCATCCCGGGAAGGGCCACACGGGCTCGCCCTTCTCCCCCTCTTCCGCCGCCTCCCCCCAGCTCCTCCGGATCCTCCCCCCTTCCCTCCCGCCTCCCTCCTCGTCCGTCCTCTGTGCCCGCTGGTAAGGTGATCTCTTCGCCTGCCGACTCCGAAGTGTTGCCCCGGGGCGAAGCCTCCTCAGCCTTGGTGCGGTGGGTCGACTCTTCATGCACGGCCCCCCCGCCACCGCATGGTGGGATGTCCTCGTCCACGGTCGCCTTCGTCATCGCCAGCCCCGTCCATGCCTCATTGGGAAACGGCCGCCCCGTGCGGCAGACATACGGAAAACCAGGGCGAGTCGGTATGATAAGGCGGAGGGGATGAGGAGGAGGAGGAGGAGGAGGAGGAGAAGCAACGATTGGCGAGGGGCATGGTGTAGGGCTGGGAGGACGGAGAACAGGATTGAGTGGAAGGTGGAAGCGAGTGGCGCAGGAGGGTAAGGCAGCGGTTCAATGGAGAGCGCGGGAGGCGCTAGCAGGAAGCGGAGCCTCGCCACGCGAGAGGCCGCGGCGGCGTCGAAGTCGGATGTGGCTGCGATGTGCCTGCAGCTGCTGGTGGAGCTGTCACAGAGGCCCACCGCGCCGCGGCAGCGAACGCATCCGTCGCCTCCCCCTCTCGGCTCGAAGCCCCCCGCCATTCTCACCGTCCCGTGCTCCTCTCCCCCCGCGGCACCGCCTGTTCCCGGGGCTTTGCCCT